TCAACCCCACTGTGGAGCTTCACACAGAGTGTGTTACACAAACTCCCAGTGCTGGCGCCACCGGGTTACTCTGCTTGTCCACCTGGTGTGTGGCTGCTGTTTTGCACCTTCTCTTCCATCCAGCACTGTGATTCTGCAGTTTAATTACTTGCGTTCGATAACATTTGCTATTGGCATTTAGACAGACTTTAAGTAGCAGCTGTCAGCTTTGAAAATTGTTATCTTTTGGGGACGATCAGACTAGGCCATATCAACCTCCACTACGGTGCCTCTGAGGTTCGGAAGAAGGGACGTTTTATTTATCATCACTCACTCAGGGTGGCAGTGAAAATCTGATTGGGTAAAAATTCCAGGCTGCAAAATAGTGCCATCAGCACACTAGCAGAATTTCTGCCATCTTTCCATCGGTAGGTTTAAAGCATATCCAAGCCCTGTTTGATCTGAGGGGCAAATATGTTTTTTAGGCATCTAGCAACCCACAAAAACATACGACTTTACTCTTTCAAATATCTTTACAGCTTGTTTCTGATAATAATAATTAAAAAAATAAGACACCACAATTATAAGTTTGGTTTATTTCCTTCCAGGATGTTTTCTATATATGTACACACAACTATATTTTATTTGAAAAATGGAATACTCTACACATTCACAGTTTAGTAACCTACTTGATCCTCACTTGACTTACCAATATTTTTTATATGCCAGTTCAGAAAAAAACTGAGTGACCAACGAAATTAGCTATGTGGCTGCCATGTTCCCCTGAAGCCCAACAGCAACAGACTCAGGAAGGAAAAGCTTGTTCAAAACAGGAAGAGCTGAGACTCAGGATTCAAAACGTGGGTGCCTTTATGGACTTTCCTGAAAACACTGACTCGGGCCCGAGTCCTACCTATTTCTTTTTATATAGTAGTACTCAGTGAACAATCATGAAATCAATAAAAATCCAAGGCCAGACGATGGTCACCACGTGCGGGAGAGGCTGCTCCGTGCCACAGCCGCCGTGTGCTCCGCAGGCTGGACCCGGCCAGGACAGAGGCTGCTTTCCGCAAACCCCCCTAGGGAATGTCTGCTTGTAATTAATGTTCATTCCGACATAAATCAGCAGCCCTCCCTGACTCCTGCTCTGAGCTGGCTCCTGGGACAGGCTGTTGTCCTGACCTGGTCAAGCACGTAAAGTGATTTCCGTACCTGGTAGCACCACGCACCGTCCCCGCGTCACCCTATATAATCCTCTGGCACCTGCCAGGAGGCACAGGGATCCATTCCGTCTTACGGCCTCCCAAGACATGCCTCGTACATAAGTTTCCCTTAATAAAATTCTGTTCATTACTAGACTGGCGTGGCCAGCCTCTTTCTGTGGTCTTTTCCTGCCTCCGTTTACGCAGGTACAGAAAGATGTTTTATTTATACAAGGGATCACCATCAGCATTGTTTTGTTTCAGCCAAAGGGAGGTTATAATGTACCTAGGACAAGCTGAAATTTTTATACACTGAAACACAACAGATAGAACATAAAACACAAAAATAAAACCTAAACATGACGGAGGGGGAAGGGACGGGTCATTGGGGAGAAAAAGGGACATCTGTAATATTTTAAACAAAAATAAAATTTAAAAAACAAAACAAAACAAAACCTAAATATGAAAAGGTTACTGTCAAAGGGAAACTTAATTATCAGTGAAGTATCTACCCAGAATAAGAAAGGAACCATTCCTATCCTTTGCTTTTCTCCCTGTGGCAACCTTTTAGCCATCTGAAGTTGGACTAAGCCCTACCATGAGCATCTGAAATTTGCACTGTGCTTACGCATCACACCTACTTTTGGAGAGCTGTCTGGCCTCCGTAACAGCATCGTGGGTTTTAGCTTAAAAGAAAGGGACGCTTCCTGTCTTTCCTGGGCAAGGGACCAAATGACCATGTATGTAGTGCTGTGTACTTTGCATCCACAGAATAACGAATGGCATTTCCCTTGGATTAGAAAGCTCCCCGAACCTCCTGGCACATATCATCTCTTCCTCAGTCTATATTCCCTTGGTGTTCAATAATGCTTTAGCAAGTAACATCCAACCGTCTTTTGAAGGGTTGCAACATCCCACATACTTATTTTATTTACTCCATGTAAATACAAGACACTGAAGTCCAAGCACCTGCTATTTCTATTCTCCCCCTTCCTCAGAAGGTATCTGTTTTGCTGCTCGGAGGCTGCTGGAACTTATTTAAATTCTTCTCCTGTGCATTTCGAGTCTGCGAAGATGGTCAGGTAATCCTAAAACTTACCATGAATATAAGATGCACGCAAACAAGAGCGTGGTGCCCAGTCCAGTAACCAAGTTTTCGTCTCTGTACAGGTCCTGGCCCAAGTTAGGCACACAGATCGTCACGTTCTTCCCACGTTCATCCAGGACTTGTAAAGAAAAACAAAGGAAGCACAGTTAAATTAGAAAAGCCTGTTGTAACTCAGGCTCGCTCGTTGTGGGAAAGCTCAGGTAGCTGAGAGGAGTGAGACTTAGCCCTGGGAATTTCTCTGGAGTCCCGCCTGACCCAGGCTAGGCCGTTGCCATTTCAAAGCGCCCCTCTCCCACCTCAGCGCCCTCAGACAACCGGACCCTCAGGCTCAAGCTCAATGCCAAAGGGTTCTTCCCTTCAGGGCCCTGCAGGTCTCACTCTTTCTCAGTACTGGTCAAATAGTAAAAAGTAAACTTAGATCCGTCTTTCAGTTGATTCGGCAGCCGCGGCACAGAGGTGGGTGCAGATAACCGCGCGCAGTGTCCATCCTATCAACCGCCCCCCCGCGGGCCAGCGGAATAACCGCCACCCGCCCACAGCCTCCACCGAGAGCAGAAGTCACTGTACTGCTGGTAACAAGGTGGCTGTGACATCTTTCAGGCTGTAACCTGGGAACCACCTGAGTAGTCTGGACTTTTAAAATATTTTGAGAGGTTTTAGATAACAAAGACTTCTGTAGTATTACCATCAGTGGTAGTTTATTTTTTGTCTCACAGAGTCTTCAATTTTGAACACCCAAGCTAGGTCTGATTGCCAACTCTGCCCAAAAATAAGGGACATGAGGGACAGACACCGTTTTACAAACATGAGCATTCTAAGTGTTTGAAGTTGGATTAAAATTATTACTGGTACTTGCACTTGAAACAGTAAACATAACTGTGTGAGCTGTGGTTAAAGGAATCTTTATTCTTAGGCCAAAGAAAAATGTTTTTTAAAAAACTGGCCAAAAATGAATTTTGCTATTTAAGTAGTACCACCTAAAATTAAAAATACAAGTTTTTGTTTTTGTTTTTAAATGATACCTGCCATTAAAAACTACTGTTAACCAAACCCCCATTAAGTTAAAACCAGAGATTAATATATAGTTATAAAGTCTTAAAGAGGCTAGGGTTAAGACACAGCTTTTTTAAAAAGAAAAATTATATCCAAGATGTACTTTATATAAAGCCTACAATTATATCACTTTGCACTATAAATAGTATAAAAACAAGACCCATACACAGTATGTGCATATGTTAAAGCTTTCCAATTATCTTTACCTTTGCTTCCTAAATTAAAAAAAAAAAAAGAAAACTTCAATTTTCTGTTCTTTTATATATCACAAAAGTGATCAAGATAAATTATAACGAATCTGGAAATCAAATAAGAAAATCTGGTCTTTTACTGGCAAGGTTCAGGGGGCTCATATAATAACACCTTATAATAAAATAGAGTGCTTTTACAGTTCTCAAATAATCATTGCAATAATAGTAGCTCACCCTTATACAGCACCTGCTATGTGCAAGGAACTGTGAATTCTTAAAAACCACCTTATAAAGTAGTAATCTTACTTGATTAACTTGTTAAACTAATAATTAAAATTCTTATTTTAAAGGCAAAGCATCTAGGCAGAGAAAGGTAAGTAAGCTCATGCCTGTTCTGTTGTCTCTATAAATAAATGTCATTTAAGATTAGCGATTCAAGGTCACGTAGCCAGCAAAGGGTGCAGCTGGGCTGGAATCTCTTCCTGTCTCTTGCTTCCCAGTCCCATGTTCTTTCCACTCTCTCTGTTTCAGTCAGAGAAATTACTACCTGAAGAAAAGTAAATTAACATCCAACTAAAAAAAACAAAATAAACAAAGCAAAATAAAAATGTTTCTTGAAAACAGAATGGGAAAATGCAGTTTAGGCCTAAGAGCAAACTCAACAGCCCACCTTTGTTCATTCATGTCTTTCCTACACAGCAGAAAGAAAAAAGGAATTTTCATTTCCATATCCCACCTTAAAGACTTTATTTAATGAAAAAGTCTAAATCATGTCTCTATTTTGATTTATTTGAAGCGAGGAGGTGTAGCTCAGTGGAAGAGCACATGCCCGGCATGTATGAGACCCGGGGTTCAACTCCTAGCACCTCCACCTGCAACTCAACTTTCACCACCACTCCTGAAGAGACACAGGCTCGGCTTGAGTTACTGCATTCCTGATAGTTAAATGATAGCTCAGAGAGACACATTGCTTCCTTCACAAATAAAAATATTCAGACCACAAACACACGCTCCCTAACAAGGCCAGCTTACCTACTTCCACAGGCTTGCTGGACAGAGCTGAGAAAGTGAGATATGTGACATAGCAGCTGATGAGACCCGACTGCAGTAACCCGGAGTGTGGCTGCCCTGGAAAATGACGAGAGAGATTTTTAAGACAGTGTTTTAAATTTCAACAATAATAAAGCACGTGCTTAAAAAAATAAAAAGTTTCCCTACCCCCCCAAATGATATTTCTCAAACTTGGACCCCCGCCTTTAAAGGAAAGAAGAGTGACATAATGTGTTTGTCAGATAACACTAAAAAGATTTTGGGGGGAGGGAGTTAGACGCTGAGCCTAACTGCTCTTCTAGAGATGCCAAGTTCTGCCAAGTTCTCTACTAACACCTTATTTTGATAATAGCTACAGCTATACTTAAACATACTGCCTGATCCCTCTGAGGTTCATAACATTAGTTCTTAAATCACAAGATCTCAGAAGAACACTTACCACCATTATTTGTGAGATCACATGGCTTAGCCAGCCAAAGGATAGATTTCATAGGCCACGGCCTCTTGATTCTACAAGGACAGCAGACACTTACAGTCCATGACAGTGGGGGAAAAGCTCGTATCCGTCAAGAGACAAAAAAATCCTCTCGGAATATCAGAGCGGGCCCAGGACAAAGAGGAAGGCTATGGGGCTCAGCATGCATTGGGAGAAGGGCTCTAATGTTACAGCATTTAAATTAAACTCAGTATTTAGATCATTGTAAGTAACCAGGATATAACAAAAGTGATTTTATTTTTTTGGTGCAATTTTCAACCACCTGCTGGCATGAAAGGACTTAGTTTTACCCAGTCTTCTCTCTGGTTACATTTGTTTCCAGAATTCTGTTTATTAAATTACCATGATCAATAAAGGTATAGAAATGAGACCCTTTATTAATGTCACTCTGTTGGCCCAGGAGTAAGATTCATCTTAACATCAAAAGGCATTAAACTAAATATTTCAAAATAGTGTAACTATTTCAAAAGGTAGGACTTACCCCAAAGGATATTTAACTCTGAATACCAATAATGTTTTAGGAAATTCTTAACTGACCCAGTCAAGAGACTGGAAGAACAATACACTCAATGTCAATAATGGACTTGAAATTTTTAGTACAGAAAAGCTTTTAAATTATTCAACACCAGCTCCTTTTTGAATCTGCACTTGAGAAAGGGTTCAAGGGCTATATATATATTGACCATATTTTCTTTTTCCTGTCTAGAAACCTGAACGTCATGTGATTTTTTTATCACCTGTAGAATAAGATACCTACAAGAAGCATGAAACCAGGGACAGTTCTAACTACTGGCTTAAGATACAAGAAATCATTTACAAAAGACAATTCATGCTTAAAATGTATAATGCACTTTCAAATCCCATGTCTCTTCCTTTTGGCTTTGAAACAACCATGAGCAAGGTCAGGCTCACAGGTCTCTGTAGGCCCTGCAGAGGAAGGACTTGTGTCTGAGGAAGGTAGCTCATGAGGCCAGCTGCTAGCTGAGCGGAGATCGGATTTCCTGCTCCCTGGCTCCCTAACCGCACTGCCGCTGATTTCTGGTCCACAGGCCTTGAGTGAAAGATGAGCCCAGCAACAGCTCCTTCCGGAGCCTTCTCATTCAAGTTTTACACAGAGAATACAGGGAGGCGCTCAATATACACTAAGGGCATTGCCATGGGAAGGCTCCTTGCGGTACATTATTTAACAATGGTCAAATCGACCTCACTTTATTGACTTCATTATGTTCAGATCTTTCTTGATAGGAGGCACGCTTGACGGTGATGTTCAGCCCAAGTGTGGGGCATGAAGAGGAGACTGGCGTCCCACCTTTCCTATTGCTGATCCACGCGCGGTAAATTAAGAAACGACCATAATTTTTTTTTAAAACTGGGTTTGCTCAAAGACACTATAAGTAAGGAAGGATGGAAAAAACCGTGCTTACGATTCTGGACACAGGGCGAGATGGCTACCAATGAAATAAGCAGACACAGGCCTCCGTTTACTCCCAGGAGAATTTTGTTTTCCATGCAGCCGTCTTTCTGTGTATAAAACACTGCCATCAGAATCAAGCCCCCAGCGGCAACGGAGTACATGATGAGGGTCACCAGGGCCAGAGAGGCATACCACAGCTTGTTGTGAGCTGTGCCCGCAGTCCTGTTTTCCCAGGAGGAGGACAAGAGGGAAGGGAGAGGAGACAGGTCAGTAAAGGCCGTGACTGGTTCTGACATTTACCATCCCTCGCGCATGAACTAATGCTGGCAAGCCCCGGGCCTATCGTAAACCCAGTTGTCCAGAAGACCTACCATTCTACCAACGGCTGTGCTCCATCAAGGCGAGAAGGTACAGGTAAATATGCAAAAACTTACTGGTTCAAGCTTAGGATTTTTTCTAAATCTTGAAAGAATTCTGTTTTCTGACTCAAGTGTATCCATCAACTATAACGAATATCCACAGACTTTCTGAATGTGAACCACCCTGGGACAGGTTTTGGCAGTATTAAAAAGTGGCCCTTTGCTGGAGCTCACTTCCTACTGTCACGATAAACCCAGAGACTGGAGGCGCCACAGTTCTTGGTCCCGGGCTGCCAGCGCTCCTGCCCAAGCCCCTCTTGTCTGGAGGGAGGGGGGCAAATTAACCCCACTCCGAGAAAGGCGGGCTGACCTCAGCTCTCTCATCCCGGCACTGAAAGGGAGACTCTAATAGCTCTGCTTCCCCAGAGCAATGCCAGGTGTGGTTGAGGGAAAATATGACATTAAACAAAAGTGAAGAGTAAAGTCAGCCAGGAAAAGATAAACATTTAAGGGGATTTACAGTGAAGAATCTAAAAGAGGCTAACGTGCTTTCTAGTTTATAACTATTAATAAAGGGATGGGGGACATAAGTGCTGGTTTAACGAGCTATAGGAATTGTTCAGGACAAAGAGAGGAGCGCTTGTCAACGCTGAATGAAGAGGCCAAACCCACGGGATGGCTTGAATCACTGCCGTCTGCCTTCTGATTCCGCTGCCTCTTGTGACCACAATCTCACAAACTTTCAGAGAAAGCCACTTGCTTATTGTTCCTGCAAAACTGGAAACTGTTCAAGCCACCCAGCTAAAATGTTTTAATGATGAGACACACTGCAGCCAGAGACAAAGGAAATAGGGAGGGGAGGGCCAAAATGACAATGACCGTTATATTCCTGAAAGGGAGCCAGGCACTCCCATGGCCACAAAATGATGCTAACATAAAAGGCACGCAAAGGAAATGAAGAGAAAAATGAGACTCCGAGAAAGGAAAAAACAAACGAAAACAGAACAGAACAAAAAACCTTAAGAGCCAAATAGTAACCAATGATAGAGACAGAGAAGGAGTTATGGAGAAGAAGGTAAACATTGCTGCCAGTGTGCGGGTGGGGGTCCGAGGGTTTCTTCACTAGCCTTCTGGATTGTGTTATTAACATATGAAGGACTTTCTTACAGTTAACTTATGCTTCTATTTCCAGTTAAATCTTCAACCCCAACCTCTCCTCTCAACTTCAGACTCGTAATAACCAACTGTGCTGTGTCCACAATTGGAGGTCCAATTGGAGGTCCAATCAGACATCCAACCTAACAGGTCCAGAGTGACTTCGCAGTTTTCAAACCTCCACCCCCTAAACCTGCTCTTCTTTGATCTTGCCAACCTCAGAAAATGACAATTCCATTCTTCCCCTCGGAGGGGCAGGGGTGGGAGGAATAAAAGAAAGAGCTGCCGTGGCTCTTCACTGTGGTTTCTCTCCCGGCTGCTCTCCCCTCATCCACGGCCATGCCACCACCAGCAGCAAATTCTACCAGTTTCAACTTCAGAATCTAACAGAAGCTGACTGCTGCTGACATCTGGCTCCAAGCTACCTGGATTATCTCCCACTGGCCTCCTCACTTGCACCTCCAACTCTCTCTAATCTTTTCTCGACTGAAGATTACGTTTAAATTGAGATTATGTCCCTCGAGTGTCCTAGTTCTTTCTTTTTTTTTCCCCCAGTCCTCAGCAGAAGGTATGTTTTTATTGATTTGAGAGAGAGAGAGGGGAAGGGAGAGAAAGAAAGAAACATTGGTGTAAGAGAGAAACATTGATCGGTTGCCTCCCACACGTGCCCGACCAGGGATTGAACCTGCAACCTAGGAATGTGGTACCTTCAATTCTCTTGATGGATGGGACGAAATTCCAACCAACTGACCCACACTGGCCAGGGCTGTGCCCTTCTATTTTATATGATGGCCCCAGAAGTCCTACATGATCGGGCCCAGTGCCATCTCTGATTTCATCTCTTGCACTCTTCCCTCACCACTGGAGCCAGGGCAGTGGGCACTACTCTACTCCTTAAACAAGCACAGCAAGGGCCCATCAGTCCCGCCGCAGGCTCTCCCCCGCGTCCTTCATTTCCCTCACACCTTACCATGCAGCCTTCCCCGGCCCTGCCCTCCCCGGCTCCCACACCCGGCTTTCTTTTTCTCCAGAGCACTTTGCACAGTTGAACCTATTACTTATTTGCTGGATTATCTCCCCCGCCCCATCTTGTCCCAAAGAATGTAAGCACCACAGAGCAGGACATGGACACAGTTGTGTTCATTGCTGTTCTACTGCAGAGGGCCTGCAAATCATAGGCACTTTGTGCAAGGCCTGTCCACTGCTAAAAAATAATTTTATGCAGCAACGTTGGCAGGGTGACCGCCATTCCTGCTGCTCCAGATTCAGTTGGTCCCCCTGATGACATCTTGTTTCCACACACACCTCTAATACGTGCCATGACTTATCTTTATAGTCTTGACGCCTGCCACACAGTCATACTCCGTTGTGAATAAATGCTAACTGAGAAGCACCTGAATGGAGACTACAAAAGGAGCAGAGCGCTTGGACACAGCCGCACGCAGGCACAGGCTGGGTGAGTGAGCTGGGCTCAGGCTGGGGGTGAGGGTTGGGTCAGTAAACCAAACCCCAAAACAACATAAACGGAAAAATCTAAAAATGGACCTTCGTTATAAATACCTGGATATACTATCTATTCTTTATTTCAGTTTTGATACAGAATTGACCCTTCTAGTCACAAAATTAAAGCTAGAAAGTATTAAAAACAAGACAACAGGCCCCAAATGGAGCCTGTCTTATGCTAAGACACCAAACCAAGACAACCTAATTACAGTTTGGCTCTCCCAGAAATAAGAATCTTAAATCAGCCAATCAGGAATTGCCTGACTAGCAGTATTAGGGAATCTGCCTGATAGATCCCTGCCATTCCCTAAAGGAGAGTAACCCTATAATAATCAGCCCACTTTTCCCCTAGTATAACTTTCTTATTCCTGAGCCCTTCTGCCTATAAAAGGTTCATTTTATACAGCTCCTTGGAGCTCCTTTCAGTCTGCTAGATTGGATGTTAGCCAATTCAAATCAATTTTTTGCTCAAATAAACTCTAAAATTTTTTAAAATATGCCTCAGTTTATCTTTTAACAAAAGAAAAAACACACACACTAAAACATCTAAACACATCATTTTGCAGGTATGAAAACGGAGGTCAGAGAGGCCAAGAAATCTGCCTAAAGTGAAACAGCAAACTAGAGAGTGAGGGGCATTAAAATCTGCACTCTCCGGGTTTCCAGGCCCATGACCTTTCTCTCCCACTGCCTTTGGGGTCTTCTCCTTCTCAAGATCTTTACAAAAAGAAAGAAAGGAAAAGTACTTTGGTTGTTCCTTGAAGAGTGATGTATTATATTTTCTAGACTAACCTTGTAAGTAAGAGACTGCTTAAAAACACAGCATAAACTCTAAATTAGAAGAATTTACAGAAAAATAAAAATACTGGTGAGCTTCCTAGCTTAATCTAAATTTTAAGCAAACCAACCAACCAACTATAAATATGTTGACAAAGGGGTTTTGTTGGGATATTGGCCTCAAAGCCGGGACAACAGCAACATCATTGTTGCAAAGCTCTTAAGCCACTATTATTGAGTGGTTTCTGGAAAGTTTTTAAAGCAACTGAACTCTTCCAAAGTGCCCGTTAAAAGCTGGCATCAATAATCAGTCCCAGAAAATGGCTTCAGAATCAATCAAAACATTACATCAGAGCGAAGCAGCACACGGATTCTCAAGAGAACAAGCTATTTAATGGGCAGTCAGGTGCTCAGGGTCAAAGATGATAATATTTACCAGGAAGTTCCTTATCTGAAGTATATTTGTGAACATTTTAGGAGAAATTTAGGATGACATATTTATCTTGTCTAATAAAAAATTCAGAGTGAAACAGTAAGACTTATCATGGAAAGAGTGTTACGTAATCAATTAAAATGCATTTCCCATTTATTGTGAACAACTGAGAAAACAGGGTTACATAAAACTGTAGTCACCCATTTGACGTATCTTTAGGGAAACTTTGCTGCCTCAAAATGAGATAGAGCAGAGACCTCAGACATAAACAACTAGGTTTCAGGGATCACAAAAAGCAGGACTGCGTGCAAGAACTTACATCTGAGCACTTCACAGACCTAGAAATCTGTCTGTCTTACCATCGAGATTAAGACTTGAAAAAATACCAAAACATACCTGTAGTGCTACCTGTGTGGCTATTTGATGTGCTGAAAACATTTTGGAAATTGGCCATAAGCATTTTATTATTTACCAAATAATAAAATGATGGCCCCAGCCAGGTAGCTCAGTTGGTTAGAACATTGTCCCAACATGCCAAAGTTGAGGGTTCAATCCCCGGTCAGGGCACATACAAGAATCAACCAATGAATGCATAAATAAGTTGAGCAACAAATTGATGCCTCTCTCTCTCTCTCTTTCCCCCTCTCTAAAATCAATAAGTAAAATTTTTTTTAAATATATCCATGCTTTAAAAAATAATAATTAAAAAATAATTAACACTACCTTTTCAATCATTCATCTCATGATTTGATCTTTAAAAAACAATACCAAAATAAAACAGCAATGACTATGACCAACCTAAGAAATATAATCAGAACGAAAAGTATTTTGAGAGAATTTGGACGGTATATTTTTTGTCCAAAATAAAAAATGAAATTCACATTCATATAAAACTTTCTAATACTGCCCCTTCCTCCACCAAAAAAAAAAAAAGCATAAAACAACCTGATGCCTATAAAATCTACAAAATAACAAAAGCCTTATTGTGCACAAAAGGCAGAATAGTCATTCGTATTTTATAAGAGAGAGAACACAATGCTTTGTCTAGAGTCACAAAGAGAGTTAAGTTGGCCTTAGGACTCAAGAGGCTGGACTCGCCTGGCTGTCATTTTCTCGATGTAGCTCACCAGAATAAAGACTAGCTATTAATAGTTTGGCATTTTCCAGTTATCCTGGGAAACGAACTCCACTTCCAAGGCACTTAGACAGCGTCTATGTTTTTCAAATGCAGGAAGGCTTTCTAAGGTAGCACAACAGAGCTTCCTCATGAAGGGGGCCTTCTACTCTTGAACAGTAGAGAGCAAACAAACATTTTTTAAAGGAGAGAACTATTCCATTGCATCTTCTCTGCAGAAAGGGAACCTTCAGCTCCGAAGTATTCTTTTTACTCTCCTAAGGTTGGAAGCCTAAGATAAAGCCTGCCCAAGTTTTCAGCCACCAACACAACCACAGAGCTGGGGCCAAAAGGTGCTACCAATGGGGTTGAGGTGGCCAAGTGACACCATCGGTTGACTTAGAGCCCAAATGAGAGAGCGAAGGGAAAAAGAGAGCCAAAAGGGGAAAAGAAATGAAGTGGGAGAAGGGAAGGTAGAAAGGGTGGAAAAACAGTATGGGGGAGAAGGAAATGAAGAGGGGCAAAGGCAAGAGGGAGGAGAATGCCCCCAAGAACTGTTCTTGTGGAGGCGGGCTGCTGACCCCTGCCAGGACAACTGAGAGCCTTTGTCAGCGCTGAACTGTGGGCAGTCTCTGAGTCAATGCGTGATTCACTCGGCAGCTTTCTATAAGGCACATACCAGTTCTTGTTCCATTTATGTGCAAACTCCACAAGCAGGATGAGCTGGATGCCTATAAAGAAGAAGGCTCCGATGGCTCCCACGTAGCGCCAGGCTGCAAAACAAGACCACCCAAAAGGAGATGACACGATCGTTCCGAGTGTTCATTCAAAAGAGAGTAATGACTACAGTCCATTGTCACTGCATGCTCACTGTACCTGCAGCACATTCAATCCCTACACAATCGTACTATTATTAGACCACTTTATAGATGAGAAAAACTGAGTCTACCTAAGCTGACAAGGTCCCTTAGCCAGTAAAGGGAGTAGCTGGGATGTGAACACAGACAGTCCACCTCTGGAGCATCCTTAAGCTCCATGCTACAACTGCCATAAACTCAACACGGCCCACAACCTAAAAGTGAAAACACACCTTGCCAGAAAAATCAAGGGTTCTAATTTCATTAGATAGGGAGCCACCAGTGTCTAGTGAGGAAATGAGGTTCAGACTTGGGGGCCAAGGACTCAGATTTTACTTCTGGCTCTGTCGCAAAGAAGCCTAACACTGGATGAGCCATGTCACATCCCTGGGTTACAGCTTGTCTATAAAAATGACTGAGCTGGACTAGAGGACTGCTAGGTCCTTTCCTGGTCTGAAGATATTATTCTAACACATAAAAGTACGTCTGTGGGAAAGAGAAAACCAGTTAATAGCATTTTAGGTAAAGGGAGGACTTGGATCTAACTTCCTTAAGGGGTACATAATTTTAGTGTGATCTTGAAAAACTTTTTACCTTCATACGTGACTATTTGAGGGCCTACAGCTGTTCCTTATGGACTGACACAGTGACAGTGTGAATACTTTCACTGTTCTGGCCACCATGGCCAGAAGAATATACCTAAGGAACTAAGAGTAAAGGTAGAAAAAGATCCCTATTGTATAAGACAAGGCCCAACAAGCTAGCCCAATAATTACCGCCCCCCCCTGAGTTCCTAGTCACACTCTGGCCAAGCACAGCCCCATTACTCACTGTAAGACACTGTTTAAATCGTCCCTTTTATGTTGTTAAAGGTTCCCCCTCTTGTTTCCTGTAACAAAAGCTGACAACCTAACAAATTCTTGGAAACCCCTTTACCGTAGTTGCCTTTGTAGTTCCTGAGTATAAAATGAGGGAAGAACTGAGGGTCGGGGCTGCAGTTCGGCTCTTACATGGGTGAGACACCGCAACTGTAGCCACTGGCCAGCTAACAAAGGCTCCAAAAATTCAAACACAAACTCTGGTGGTCGTCTGTCGCGGGTCACCCCTGAACATCACTACCTTAATTAGGAAAGTGAACTCATTTGGGTTCAAGTGTTTTGAACCACTGAAATTCAGACCTTTCTTCCTCCCGAGCTCATGTGAAGAAGGGGCCCCAGTGTCAGCTATGAGGAAAGGCTTCATATTAAATTAAATCTTGGTATCTTCTGTCAATAAGGAACGTAACCCAATGCCACGCGGTTTCACATAAGGTAAGTTTAGAAATAGGCTGGGGGACGCCTCTCTTATCCCGTGGTAGCTGCGGCAGGTTTAAAGCTGCTGAGAAGCCCTGTGGTCTGCCCTGGCCTGTCCGTGCTGACCTCAGAGAGAACGAGGTCTCCAGGGCCTCTTCAAGCATGGCTGGTAGCGTGGAGCTGACGGTCTAAACTGATTTTCAAACAAATCTGAAGTGCTTCATTTTCCCTTCAGGCCAATAACCTTAAAATTATCATTTTAATTCTTGGGCCTGCAGAGTAACTGAAGGTCCTCCTCCCACAGCCTGCAGGGAAGGGAGGGAGTGGGAAGGGATTGGGGGG